TTCGTAGGCTTCTACACGCCCTGAACATGGTTCAGAGAGAGAAAAAGACGGAAAAGAGGAACTGTAGTAGTCTCTCTTTTAGCGTGAGGGTAATATATACTGCAGCTAATACGAACTTATAATTCCACCTATCCTTTGTCTTCCTACAGCGTTCCCCCTACAATACATTATCGTCCTTATCTTTAGCTACAGCAAGTACTAGATCTGTACACGAACAATGTACCTTCCGTCCAATCTGTGTTTAGGTCTTAGAATTGTTCTCGTCCATTCAAGCCTCCAGACTAGAATTCTGTAATCATTTCTCATCCTCGCTGTGATATTATTATTGTTATTACTTGTAAATAAAAAGTATGAAGTTGTATCTATCGATTATATAATCGTTAAAAGTTAGGTTTTTTAATGTATCATGTGGTTGAAAAGATTAGATTTAAAACAGGCATAAACAGGAGTACAAAAAACGTGGTTTTCTTTGTTATAGCAGGCGTGTAACATTAAAATTATAATAATATGATTGTTAACACACAAGTCTATATATAGTATTCAGTGCTGGTTTGTTAAATATTAATTATTGCAATTTGTTTAAAAAGATTTTATTGGTTTTGACACTTATTTATTTAATGTGTTCTTATAATTACTTTCAGAGACTAATATTAATACGAACTTGGAACCTAGATGTATCATTATATTGCTCACTGCGCCATGTCAATGTACGTGCTTAAATGAATTTTTAGCCTCACACCGAAACTCAAAACTGCTATATCACCCATTGTCGGCTGTCCGCCGCTGCTTATTCATAATTTTCACAGTTGTTATAATGAGACTCGTGTCAGAGCAATAAACCGCTCAGCTTCGAACACAGGACCGTGTGTTGAGTATCCAAGCGATAACGTGTTTTTCACACACGTAAACTAAATACATAAATCAATTATTTACCCGTATTTTCAATCAGCACTTGCTGCTCGGTGATTTATAAAATATCTAAGTTTTACATTGTTATTAATTTCATGTACATCTGTTTTAATTTGTTTCACTTTTGTATCGTATTTTTTAACTCGTAACATACACCTCACATGTGTTTGTCAGTTTATATGAACATGGTTCAATATCGGTAACAACTTTACGCCACAAATCATATTCAAACAGGATGATGTGTACATATTAGATGAAAATAAAAATTAAAAGTGAATTTAGTATCGTACCATTTGTATATAACACTGCCATATTAATTCATCGTACCCACGTGTTTTCTACAGGGTGATTCTTGCTTAGTGTTTGAGTAGCGAACGTGGTTATATTGCAGGAAGCAGACCTTGAAATTATTACACTTTGCATTTTATTTTGTCCCTGTTTGCAATACGCAGATAATGTGTCACGTAAATAATGCACAAAAGAAGAGGTAGGATACGTTTTGAAAGAACATGCAGATTTACTATTAAAATACGACACTTTATTATTATACACAATAATACATTTTTCTTGCTTAAATTTTACGCTCTCAACAATAGAACTCACATTTTTTTATATATTGGGTTTTGCCCAGACTGAATTCACTGCGTGGAACCTCCGTGCCTTGTGCTCAATTACTCAAATTTGTTCAATATTTGGTTTATTTACTTTCGTATACAAATGTTGTCTCTGTCTCTGTCGCCCAACGGATAGAGTAAGTATTAGCTTAAATGCTGACCTAATATAGGCCGACATCTTTATAATCTGTCTACAAGACCTTCACACGCAGTAATATCACGGATTAGCACACACTCGTAACTTTATACGCATTTGCCATTATAACTCCGTATTTATTTCCTATTCTGGCAGAACCCACTGTCTAGACCTTCAACGACTCAACATTTTGGTTACACGTTTAATACAAATAAATTAAGGTACTTGTAATAAACGTGCTGGTTTAGTGTTTAGGATGTAGGCCAGGTTAGCATAACATAATATAGAATATAATAGTATAATGGAGTAGAATAGATCATTTTAACTTAATATACAAAAATATTTGCATTTATTCACTGGAAGAAGTTTGAAGCTCATCTAAGCAATATTGCAGAATTGATTTCGTACCTTAATAAAAAAGAGTAATCTATTATAAAGGTCACTTGTTTTATTCTGTTCAATAAAATTGTAGGTTTTTGTTCTTAGAAGCTTGAATGTTATCAGCAGAATGGATTTATGTCCATTCTGTCAAGAAAATGCACAGTAAGTCGATGTTAAAAAATTGGTATATAAAGTTACCACTGTGTCTTAAGGGGTAGCTATTGGCCGCAAAATCGCTGTTCAGAAATTTAGACACTTCACCAGTGAAAATATGGAATGATCAAAACATTTTGCAATCCATATTAAAATATACACCGATCGTTACAATTCAATATAATTTTATTTTTAAGATACAGTATCGCTTTGACTGTACAACAGCTCATATTAGTCACGTCATGTTGTAACCTGCTCTCTCCAGCCTGTCACCTGTATTCATATAGTCGAAGTGCAGGGATGAAAGATGTATTTTTCACTAGTGCAAAGAGTTTTAATTGAAAAAAACTGCCTGGCGCCCTGTTCTTACGTAACTTCTTAGCATGAGTTCAGGGACACATTTCTCGGTTTTCCGGTGTCGAACAAATCGACGTTTCCGGTCGACTGTACAAAATAAATATATTTAATCAAACACAAACATGACGCATATAAGATACAAAATGACATATTTTGTTTTATTATTTCATTGTATTTTATTTTTACGAATAAAAAATGTGTCAGAAATGGGTTTCATAATTTTTAGATCATCCTGTAATTATTAGGCTATTAAAAATGTAACATTATATAGAATTACAATGTGCATAAATATGATACAAATTCAAGAAGGAGCTACAAATTCATGGCAGTTAAGATTTTTCTTAATAAATACCCAAACATTTTGTATAATAACAGTAAGGTCTATTAATTTATTGTTATTAAGGAAATAATGACATACCCAATAATTTAATGTCAACTGAAATTATCCGTCGAAGGTCCAGACACGTTTTTCAATTACTTTATGAAGGCAAATAACGAACCTTGTTTTAAACACTTACCACAACTGTGTTGTTGTAACAAACCATTATCTTGAGATCACTTTGACACATAGATCACAAAAAAGACGTAGACCAAGATATTTAAAGAGGATATTTGAGCATGAGGGGATCGAGAATAAATGAGGAAGGCGGGAAATGTGACAAGAATAAAAATCATAACACAAAATCACTTCCTTTGTCTTTTTACGCTAGTTCATGATTATATATCCACAGCGGACATTTGCCATCTTGTATATGTTATATATAAATTCATGATATAAAATCTTATCTTGCAATGCAGTTTATATTCTGGTACTCACACTTTGAGTCAGGTAAGTAAATGCTGACTGTCACTCGAATTTTGGCCGAGTTTTGTTTTGAAACACACACTGTCATCCAGTTAGATTATTCTCATAATGTTTTATACAATACAAAACTGAAATTTAAATCAGTTATCACGGCTTACTTTAAGTCAGTTCCTTGGTGTCTGTTCAGTTCAAAAACACATGGGAGGAAACTTCATTTTTAGAGTTATATTGATTTGTGTTTCGCGTAATTTGTAATGCAGCAGAAACACGGTCGGACATTTACCCGTTGAAGACACGGACAGCGCATAATTCTGACTTAATTACTTCAACCCTTTCTGTGTTATAGATTGGAGTATAATTAAAAACGATGCAACGGAATTATAATGAAGTATTTTATATAATTATAAATTCCATATTAAAACATTACAACTAAAATAAACAATGACATGTGTTTCCTGAGTTTATGTATCGCATTATAAAATGTTTAAAACATAAAATTGTTGTAGAAATGATTAAAAAATAACTGTTTTTTTCTGAACAACAGTTTCAGAATGGCGATTCAATCATGTTACGCACGGATTTTTAATTTAATTACATTTCCGTTATTAAACTTCATAGTTTAGCTACGTGAAATGTTTTGGCATACGAGGTTTATATATTGGCGATTACAAGAGGTGAAGTTCGTAATTGTGTTTTACAAAGTCTATTGATTATGCACATTGGTTTGTCACTGTGCTGTGTACGTCTAACCACGGTAACAATTGAGCTCCTGTGTCACGCAAACTTATCTCTTCGCAAAGACATTTCTTCTCCCTGCTTTAAAAAAACCTGAAACATCTCGACTCGTTGATATATGTTTAAAAATGTTTCGGGAGTGGGCTATGATTCATTCTTCAGGTGATTGCTTGTTATTATACTGGCAGACACTATTTGTTTTTTATTTTTCCCAAATTTTCTGGTGTTGTCAGAATATGTTAGTATACAGAAGGTTTGTCCTTAAATTCTGCCTTGTCACTAAAACCGTAAATAAATGCAATAAATAACAAGTCATATTCGCTCAACAGAGTCGCTTAAGGTAGTGAATCGAGCACCCTCCAAAACGCTGTGTACCTCGTATAAGGGACGTCAGACATGTTTGCCAAAGCAACCATTGTCACAAACATTTAAAGAAATATCTCCATTAATTGTACTCTCGAAATGAGTCACTTTGCTACTGTCTCGCCCATGTGCTTAATTATATGCCCGTCAAAACATCTTCAAGTTCTTAGCTTCATGAAATGCGATTACATTTCTCAGTGGAATTTATGTTTATTATGATGGTAGGCTTGCGTGATAGATTTAATTTGAGGTATTTCATATGGAATTTTGAAACCGGTGTGAATAACGGAATTTGTCTATTTTAACTTGTTCGACGTGTTTATGAATTATTCTTTTAAATGGGAATTAAAGTGTTTCGTTGTAAAATTCACTGTTAATTTTGTTTGAAATTCTCGAGATGACATATTTAGATTTTTTTTATTTACATGGAAAACAAAATTGTGTTGCTGTACAATAAATTGTGTTCACATACCGAAGGAATTTTCACTTTTGTTTCACGTCTTGTTCCGCTGTAGGTGGCGGTCTGGTCAGACGATGTAACCTCACCGCAATTTCGCGCCGATCCGCTTTGTTATGCCATGTATCCATACACAGATGCTATCTTCTCGGGAGGTGGCGTAGTTAGACGTCCAGAGAGAGCGGAAACCACGACACATGCCAGGAGCAACCAAGCGGACGGACAGTGCAACCAGGAGAGACCGCGACCTCCATGTTGCATTGCTGCTGGGTTCTCGCCTGTAAGTTGACACAAAACGTGCATCTCGTTAAACACTTACACCGGAAACAAGGGCTTTAATCTTTAACTAACCTGACGTCAGTGGTAACACTATAGAATTGTACTTTGAAATTGTCGGTTCAAATCCCAAAGGGGTTATCTTGAATGAGGTTTCTGCGATGGTCCTCACATTCAAGGATAGTAATTGAAATAGACAAGGATTGTCGCTTTTAAAATAATTACCTTCAAAGCATTCATTATGATCATGGCATTGAATTCGATCTACATAACTTCTGCAATTTATACGGCGTTCTTTTATAACGTAGGAGACTGTCGGTTTACTTTTTTTTATTTTTTTAAATACCTGAATCGCTGTTGGATAACAGCTGTTTGTGTTGATTTTCAGCTGATTGGAGTTTCAAAGCTAGCAATAATGAGACATACGAGTATATATTTCTGACAGTGTTGTTACGAGCCATGATCAGTTTAAATTAAGCCCACCAATAGTAGCCAGTCGTTCGAATCGGACAAATATAAGCGAAACATTCCAATAACCACATATTGCTACCGAATGCTGTTAAAACTGAAATGGCTAATATCCAACCCGTAGCGTTTAACAGTGTTAGCTGCTTTAAGCAATTGCTCCAGTTGTTCATAATAGCTGAGTTTTAAATTTAGTTTAACTGGAAATCACATTGTAGGGCTAAAAAAAAGGAATATTTCTACCAGACTACACGGGGCTACAACTCATCGCCGTGAGAAACCTGAAATCCTAATTAATAAATATACCCATAATTTCAACTTTATATATAAGATTAAAGAAGGATAAAAGACAATGTTATTTTGTGAAAAGTAAATTTGCTTCATTTTAATTTTCACACTGTTATTTGTGAAAACAATGTACTGGTTTAATATATAAAGCTAAATGTACAGCAAAAAATAGTTAAGTAAAGTCAAATAATTATTTTTATTTTTATGCTGCATTGTTAGATTTTAATTAAAAATGTGTGTTAAGTAACAATTTAGGTTTTCCGTATTTCTTGACGGAAAATTCTCATCAGTTGAAAATTCTTCAGTCCATTGTTACGTCATATGTCGAATATTAAAATAACTTCTACAGTAATTGTTCTCAGAAACATTCGCTTTGAATAATTGTGGATAAAATTAAAATAAAGCTCGCATTTGGAAATTTAATAAGAGTTTCGCTGTCTGAGAGCCCGAACTTTCAAGTGACTTAACCTTGCGCTTCAACTAACCCACTTTACATCGATCCACAATTTAATTTTGTCGCAGACATAACAGTTGGTCCCTTAACCAATAAAATTGTTCGCTTTTCAGGAAAGCACGTATTCGCGTGTCCCAGCGTGATAATTGGTTTCTAAATGTAGATAGTTCTTCTTAAATACGGGGGTTATTTTACATGAAGGTCTAGTTTAAATTAAGATAGTTTTAAGATAGTTCTTGAGAAGCTACAGGATTCGGAACAACTATAATAAATGTAACAAATCGTCTTGAAGGTAAAACGATCGAAGTCAATATTCTATATGCTATAGGGTGTTTAGTGTGATGTAATTTTTAATTTATATTGCCCACTATAAAACTTTTCTTTAGCATCTTCTTATCTTGAACCCCTTCGATTTTTTATAATTTTCTACTCCCCACTGTTTCCCTGAATATTTTATTCTTTATTTTAAGAAATTTTATCAATATAACATTTCATTTCGACGAGGGTAGTAACAAAATTTGCATTAAATTAACGTAATCTGAGTTATAAAATACACAAATAATGACAGTAGATTTATAATAACTGTGAAGGAAAAGTTACTTTGTGTTTAAATAACACATCATGGAGACATATTGGTAATCTAATGTATAGCTCCATACCTTGTTATCCTCAGTATAGAATTAAGGTTCAGCTTCGTGCTTTGTCCGGTTTACTTCCTGTACTCACAGGATACAAAGATAATGTCACCCTGAACCTGTCGGAATGTGTTAGCGAAGTGACAAATCCCTACCCCACCCTTGAAACTGAAACTGTGTTGTCCAATCCGTACACGGCCAGTTATTTAACTCATGCGTCATGTCTATTAAGAAGCGATACGTAACTAAAATACACGTATCATAAGTTTTTAATTTTAATGCCACGTTTTCCTTACAGTTTGTTAAATGAGAAAATCATCACAATAAAGGGGTCCTCTGGGATATTTCACCGTGTAATCTGGCAAATATTGACCGACGACATAACTCTACAAGGAATATGTCACTAGGTCAACGTATCAACCTTTATCGATGTACTGGAATGTGAAATTCCGTGTAAACCTACAGAAATAGCGTGCTGTCTGGTTACTAGTGACTGTTTAATATTCAGTTCGTCGGCGAATTATGTCATTACGTAATTTTCCACGTTGTAGTTCCGCAGAAACATGAACAATTAAACGTGTTCCACTAACTCGTGACAAATTTCATTGAGCATCACTTCGTCACTAACTGATAGTAGCCGATACCAGAAACTCAGAACGGGAATATGCTGCTCTAAGTGAGCCTTTTGTATGTCAACCAGATTTCTAAAAAAAAACAAAAAAACATAGCGTTGCTTTAAAGATGATGGGATGTGTCTTGTAGCCATGTATAATCTGTCCGATGTTGTAGAGGTGCTTACTGCCTACGTTGTCAGGGTGGAAAGTCGATTATTTTCTACGACACTATACGGTAAACCTGAAGTCTCATAAAGCATTTTTTTTGCTTTAAATTGGTAATTGAAATCTGTTTTTAAAACAAGCTTCACGCGTCAAGTGTTTTCATTTCTTTGCTTAAAATGTCTGCCGTGTCCATAGAACACAGTCACTATTCAGAAAAACTGGCATTAAATAATGCATGCCGTTGAAGATGGCAATCTTCTCGGTTTACCGACGACATTTAAGAGGTCCTTGCCTATCGCTCTTGTATGGTGCAGGTAGCAAGGATGTCTGAAACGTCGGTAAACTTCTATCAGACTATGCTGGGCTTCGACCCAGAAGATGGCTGTCTTCGTAATTACTGCCGTGAGAACCTCAAATTCTACTGATTTATGGATTTGTTATGGAAATTTCTGCGCATATTAAAAAGTGGGATGAAATGGGATGAAAATTTAGAATGTCGATCCTAAACCATGTTTCATTAAATTTCGTTCTTGGATAGCTTGGATATAAGAATATGAATGCCACTTCTTCCGATACAAACTTTGCTGTACTCGGAGCCAGTAACCGAGGATTTGAATCCAGGATAAATCCTGTTAAAGTTTAGGGGGAGGGGTGGGTAGAAGAGGGAATTAATAGAAGTAGCAGTCATTCCGACTACTGCGACATTTCCAGAATTTGGGAATTTAGTTCTAGATTGTTGGCCTTTCCGAATGTTCGTTGTCTAAGACTTCACTCGAAACGTGAAGGGTGGAAACCAGGGGGTGTTCAGAGCGAGTCTCGTGACATTAAATGGCCTTTCTCAGCAATCAGTTCCCGGTTTTAACAGTGATTTAGTGTCTCTTTAGGCATGGCAGAAGGGAGATAGCTAACGTGCTTCCGTGCCAGGAATTGCGCCAAAGTTTAATACCGCGGAATTTGGTTCCAGGCCTCATATATTATTCTTCCTTGGTTGACGTCCAACGCTTCGAATTTCCCACGGTTTAGAGTGTTTTATAAAAATTCGTGCTGGTTTATCTGTACCCTTCCAAAGGTGGATTTTATGGTAATTGGAAGAACGTTCATGGTGAGATACCACAAAACAGAAAGAATGGAAACCCTAATTTTTTGTCTTATTTCTGTTTCAAAAATCGTACTATTACAGTTTATCAGTACATGGAGCAGCTAAGTAATGACTTCATAGTATAACGGGGCTCTTAACGAAGAAAATGACGAGTGAAAACGAATATTCTGCGTGTTGTATGAGTTTTGAGGTTAAGATATCGGTGTTGACCCTCAGGGTAGTAATGTCCTGTGCACTTGTTGGCAGATGTCACCTCTTCGGAGGTTCCTACATTTCACCCATCCGTTCCCCTTAAAGGCCTGCTTTTCTCCATTCTTCCTCTCCCGCCACAGCCTTCACGACTGGTCTGTTTATTTCTCGGGCCATCTCTTAGCCTTTCCCCCGTCCCTTGGCAATAAATTTCACCTTGATTCTACTTTGTAGACCCCTAAAGGGCCTCTTTTTCCTTTCACCCGTCTCAGACCTCCTCACTTATGTCCTATTTGGGGTCTCCCTATTAGGCCGGATCATATTCTCCACATTCCTTGACTTTGGTTAGTCAATTTCCCTTGCCTAGTTTTTCTCCTAACTTCAAATAAACTATCCACCCACCAAAAAATACTCAATTCAACACTGAAGAAGGAGACAATCTGTTTCAATAAAACGCTGGAATGTACCAACAAGTCTGCATGACGTTACAACACAAAATACCAAATACCATTCTTTTGTCGATATTGAGAGCTGATGCTGAAATTGAATTAATTCTGAGTGATTTTATGCAACGTACAAGGCAGTACCTTACTGATGATGAGATAAAGCTGATATTTGTTTAAAAGGATCGGGAAACTGTAGAGTAATTAGGTGCTAATTACATAATCCGGATTGCATCATATCCCAGGTTGCCTCGTTGTTTCAAGAAGTGCGTAACTTTATTATGGATCACATAGGCGAGGGTGTTTGTGTCGTTGTTGATAACAATTTTATGCCATTTTCCACGCGTCAGGTTGCACAAGTACAAATTAGCAGTTTATTGCCTCCAAATATTTTTATTTGCTTCATCTGTTAGATAATAGTAGATAATAAAATGCGTGGAATAATATTATGATTAAAACGAATCTACGAAACATTTTTGAAGTGTAAAATTAATCAAATAACAATGGATGTATATTTGATGTAATATTTTGGCAACTCTTATAACTTTGTTTGTTTTCCTCTGGCTTATGATGTTGATTTTTGTTCACACATAGGGTACATTATACAGCAATAATCACATTTTTAAAAGTAAAATTGGGGATTAGCGAGCAATAGCAGTTATGTGTATCTTATGAAGGGTTTTAGGCTCTATAATTTTGGTAAACAGTTTAATTTTTTAATGTTTCCTACATACGCATAACATTTAAAAACATACACTCATAAACGTAGGCTATAAAATATTGGGCACAAGGGGCAGACCTGTTTATTAATGTGTTTTTTGGAGCAATTCTAAAATTATTAACGTGTTTTTTGGAGCAATTCTCAAAAATCTAACAATGTGTTCTGTTGTTACTGATTGTGTAATCTGTTTTTTCTTTAATATTTTGTAGTACAGAATACTTCGTCCCCAAGTGACATATATTCAGCTGACCAGAAATTATATTCTTTTACGAAAGTTGATGACTGTGATGATAAAATTCCGCCATTTGACTTTGTTATAAGCCACTTTATTTCAACCTTAAAACTTATGGTAATTCACGTCCAAAATATAACATATTCTGTGAATGTCCAGTGTATTGATTAATTCCAGTTTCATGCAGGGCGATCTACAAGTCACACAACCATTTCCTGACGTACGTCTTGTTTGTGAAAGATTAATTATAATTATATAAAACATGTAGAAATCTTGACAGTCTTTAGAAAGGTGGTACAATTTAAAAATATTGAACGTAAAATAGGCGTGCTGGTGGTGAGTTGCTATACGCTCATCATACGTTCGTAATTTTTTTTAGTTACGTTTGATAGTTTAACCAATCGTGGTCACACACCCTTAGAAAATCATAAATTTTCCAGTGTGGACCGAGTGTAAGTAATATGTACATTAAGTGCGCGTGGGAAATGTAGTGTGTACAAAGACGAACCTTCATAAAATGTTTCGAGAAGTGCCACAAGTTTCCTGTTGCTTTCAAAATTTTATCTAACTCTTTGCATGCATTTCTAATCTGCAGCCATGCGTTCTAAATGTCCCACACAATTTATTTTTCTCGTAAAATAAGAAATGTAGATTAAAAGTCTTATTTAAAAGTATCTTAACATTTTTTTTCTATTTTATATCAGATCGTCAATAACATTCCTACGTCGGTTCCTTTCGCTTGTAGTCAGCGAGTAACAGTGACGAACCTGTAGGAAGCAAATAAGTTGACACGTTTTCAGGCAGAGAATATTAGGACGATAATTGACATTTCTGAGACGTGAAGGTACTTTGTCCTGACACTTAATATACCATCGCGTCGTGTCCTCTGAACAGAGCAGCAGGAAATGTTTCTCTTCAATAATATATACCAAAGGAAGCTGTGAAAGGCGAGAGAACTTCATAAGATATGTCAAACCATTTACACTTTTCGTCCATAAATCATACACGGTCTACAGGTAATGTCGTGCCAATGGAATGAAAAACATCCCCCTTTGGAATCTCTCCGTTTGGAAGGCATTTACCAGAATGTGGCATTTCATATTGATAGTCCTTATTACGTAACTCCGTCACGTGCGCTTAAATCGTTGTTCCATTTCCTCCTCAGGCATTGTGGGTGGCGTATTATCAGGGGTAACTTTCCAACAAGTCATAGAAGAGAGTTGGAAAATGTAAGGTATTGGAAATGGGAAACAGAGATACTTGTCAAGTTAGAAAAGGAAAACTACAGCTCAAAGAAGTTTCTTTTTTGTTCTATCGAATGCCTAATATGACTGCATTAAAGACTCATTTACAAATCGATAGAGGCTTTTTGTAATGCGTTCTGTCTGCTTATGTCATGCAGGTAACATGTCTAATTCTTTTCCATATCATCGTATACTATGGTTCTTGGTAGACTCGGAAATTGAACAAGTGTGTAGGCGCTTTCTCAGCAGTTTTAAAAGTGCACCTATTATTTCGCCAAGTAACAGTCTGTCCGTCCACAAAATCAACAAGAGAAACTCTGGATGGATTTTAACGGAATTTGGTATTTGAAATATTACAAGTATTTCTTGAAATTTTCCAATTCCGGTTAATATTGTAGAGTGGTAAGGGGCACATCGCACGAAAACCGACATAGGTATTTACCTGAGGGCACAGAGCATGAAATAAGAAGTTATTTTTCTTAATATGTTCATAAAATATCAAAAATGTTTAGAGTTCTAATTTCAGGACCTGAAAGAACTGTGCATGAGAACGTACATAAACTACATTGTATTTAAATTATAATACATTTTTTTACACCATTTCAGATTTAATAAGAATGGTTTTTTGAAATAAATTAAGCTACCGCACGTCGAAATTAATATGATATCATTGTTCGTTTTATAAACCGTTCAATTTTTATGTATTTTCATGCCTCTGGGGTAATATTTACAAACCTATCCGCACCACAATTTCCATAAACGCACGAATCCACAGAAAGACTAATCAGTATTACAGGATAATTTCGCTGATGTTTATGCCTATAATTAAATATGATTCTGTCACGCAACATGCGATATATAAAATGCAATTCAGCTATTCTGTTTCCAAAGCCATTTCTCTTTTAAAATGCGATGATTATTACAGTATACGATAAAAGTGCGCACACAATGTAATTACTACTATAATGAGATATCATTAGGGAATTGTTTACAAACCACACATATTTAACGATAACCTGTAATTAATGAGTCTCCAACATTGCTATGCTACATTTACTTTATATTTTTGGGACTATAAATGAGAAACACAATGCTGGAATTTTCCTGCGTTATTTAAACAAGGTTTTGTAAAATGAGTGTATGATTAAGAGGTTGTATTTTTCCCCACATATCTGTCCACGTATGTTTCGATCTTGAAACTGTTATATGAATTTCGAGTGACAAGAGTTTACACCAAATACTGCTAAAAGAATTCTTAGTTTGGGTCAATCGGTCATAAACTCAAACCCTTATTTGTAAAGTTGAAGTTAGATTTTATCTAGTTTCTTAAAAGTTGTTTATTAAAAATTCCATTACAGGAACCACCGTCTCTGTTGAGTGGCGACCTCTTGTGCTAATTACACCTGTTCTGGAGACTCAAGGCTTGAATCTCGGCTATGTTACCTACTATTCAAATATTTTGTGGTTGCCCCAGATTCCTCCAGGAAAACGATCACACTGTGGTGCATTATATTTCTTGAATATTCGATTTGTATTCGGCATACTAAAGAATTCCAATTTACTTTTTGTAACCGGAAGGATCATCACCGTATTCACAAAAGCCCACCACTGGCTCCATCGTGAGCTAGATGCATCCAATTACATTGCCATTGTCAAGAATCAGTCCAGGTCCGAGGCGATTTTAAATATTTCGTAACAAAGTACGTTTTTAGGTTAGCCCTACATAGTGAAAAGAGACCCACAATATATGGCCAGAAAAACGCTGGCATAACTAATCCCAACGAGCTCAGTCTTTCTAGAGAATGTGATAGTACATTCAGCAGTGGTTGTCTGCGCAACCACTCATGCACCGCCTGCTGTATCTCTTCGTCAGAACGGAACTTCTTTCCTCCCATCGCCTCTTTGAGTGGCCCAAACATGTGGTAATCACTTGGGGCTAGGTCTAGTGAGTATGGCGGATTGAACAAGTGTGTAGGCGCTTTCTCAATAGTTTTAAAAGTGCACCTATTACTTCGCCAAGTAACAGTCTGTCCGTCCACAAAAACAACAACAGAAACTCTGGATGGATTTTAACGGAATTTGGTATTTGAAATATTAATATTAGTCTTGGATTGTTGCAACTGTTGCACGGGCAGTATGGGGCCGAGCATTGTCATGTCAAGGACACCTCTAGTCAAAAGTCCACGTCGCTTTGATCTGACTGCAGGTCGAAGATGATTCTTCAAGATTCTTCACTGATTAAAAAACGAATTACAGAACGTTGTTCTTCTTTCGTGCACGTAACTAGTGGAGCAGCCATTTTCAAATTGGCACTGTGATGGCGATATGTTTGTCTGCATTATACTACCACCTATAGGATACTCTTTATAGCATTGGTAACATGTCTGCCAACTTATAGGACAATGGCGCGATATTTCGAATTTTTATCTCAGTTTTACGGTTTTCATTTGACTCACCCTCGTAAATTCCCCACCTTTCATGGGACCCTAAGGCTCACTGTCGTCTTCAAAATAACAGACCAGGGGTCCCTGTCCTGAACCTAATGAAAGCAGTCCACATTCCCAAACACTTTTTTCAGTTAAGGTTAATTTTAATATTATCATCTCATCTCGCCTTGGCCTCCACACCGGTGACTTCTCTTCTGACCTTACAACAAAAGTTTATGTTTCCATTTCTCGGCTTCCGCATACGTGTTACGTTCTTGACATTTGGTTTTTTCGTCATGAGATAATTTTCTTAGTCTCTCTTGTAGCGTTGTTATCTGAAAACTCTCTACCGGCTCGTACACCTCGTAAACTCTTTTCATGGAATTGGGCTAAGCTGGAAGGATTCACGGGAACAGATAATTGCGGTCTCTCCATGTGGCAGCAAACTCCTCCTTCCTGTCTTCTAATGAAGTTCCTATTCACTACAAGAGAACTTAATCTGGTTTTGTCGTCCTACGCTGTCTGACATTTTACTCTCTGGAATAGAATTAATTGAAAACGTTGTAACGTAGATTTTGTTTTGTATTCGAAGCGGTCTTTTGTATGTAAACAATTGGGCTTAAATTACTGCTCGAATTTGTCTAAAATAGTCGATCCAGTAATTCATTTGAGGTGTATTTGTAGAAAACAGTAACATAGAAAAAGATTTTTAACCTTAAGGACTATTAGAAAATCACACGTGAAGTACAATTTATATTTAATGAGGTTCAAGGTCATTACAGTGGTAGCTGTAAGGCTACTTGGCTTCACAACTTAGGGGGAAAAAAAGTTTTTCTTTTTTGTTTTAAGTAGTTCCATAGTCTTCGCGCCAGTGTGTTACCTGAAATGTAATAAATAATACAAGAAATGTTTAACTTGTGATGTTTCCGCTTAGCCCGGTTCCGTTTTATACAGGTAACATCCAGCGGTGTTCTTACCGTTTAATATGTGGACGTACGTGCTTGCGGGCTGGGCATTGCTTGGTACGCACGAGTAATTCCCCGAATGCTCTGGTGAGGCGCTGTTTATAAGCAAGGTGCTGGTTTTAGCAGGACGGTCAGTTGTGACGTTCACACCACGGTCTCCGTCATAATTTATCATCCGGTTGTTGTGATACCAGAACACGTAAACGGGAGGTTCTGTGCTGGACACCAGAGTGCACTGTAGGCTTAGCGTGCTGCCGAGCTTCAAGTATTTTTCCGCAGGACCAGATATTTCGGCTCTAGCTTCTGAAACAGTCAGAGTTGTAATTTACGTAAAACTTATGAGTGCGAACTATTGAAATATGTAACTTCCCAAAAAAGTCATCATGAATGTATCAAGTACGGGAGACTTAAATATATATTAAACTAGTGGTTTTCAAAGTGAAGTTTACTTTTAACTCTTTTTTGGGCACTTCATTCCCTTAATCTCTTACGAGACTTTGCCTTTAATGTAACCCTGGGTGTTGGAATATCTATTCAGAAGTTGTGCTTGTACATTTGGCTTAAGAATTACTACAATAGAGGAAACATTTTCGTACAAAGTTTGCTTACTTAAAATACAGCGGAAAGTAGAATGTATATACATTTTGAAAAAAAAATTCTGTCGATTTCCTTACTCGTTACTGTTCAAAAACACTTTTCATCCAGGAAACCACTAAGGGCAGAAGCAGGAAGGAACCACGCTGTATACTTCGCAAATTATTTTATGTATTTCAAAATGTGCTAAGAAATATGTCGACACTTCTTATTTTTATTCCAGTTGTGGTTGAAACTAGGTAAAGAAACATCGACTCTTGAACGTAAACTTCTTTTCCTCGAGTCTTAGTAACAAAAACTGTGTTTCATCCTTTGAAATAGTTCGGTTCCGTTGAAAGTTCATTGGATCCAATTCTTGAAACAATTTTCTTTACAGGAGTAGTAAGTTATATATGCGTTGTTAGCACAAAGTGTTTGAAATTAACGCATGATAGGGATGACTTCGTATGTTCGTCTATGTATCCAGTCCGTCTTTGTTTTATTTCTGAAACTAATTGAGGGGATTATATTTAATAGTCTTAAACGTCTGCATCAGAATTTGTGAGTTGAACATGATTTTCTTTTGTGTTAATCCAGTATAACAGATATTTGACGTAATCGTTCAAATCGAACTTAGTTTTCTAAAAGAGGTGGATTAGATTTCATATTCTACCCCTTGGGGACAATTTTTGGGTAAGAAATGTTTAGATTGAAGAAAGTATTAAGTTTTTTTTCATTTAATTTTTCTAAAACAACGTTATCAAATTGATATTTTTAATGTTAAAGAATTGTGTTTTCTTTGCGGACTGACTGAATAATTAAATTATGTTTGGCGACCTTTGGCTTTAGGAATATAATTCATATACTTTATCGTTTTCCTGTTGACAGATACTCTGATTAAGACACTGAACTGAATCATTACGTACTTAAATAGTTAAAAGATTTGAACTGTAACTCACCTACTACTTTGAGTTCGATGAAGATGCTGCTAGGCGGGTGTGAAGACACCTGACATTCGTAGAGCCCAGCATCCCTGTGTTGAACAAACTTGATCTGCAATGTCCAGTCCTGCAAAACAACAATTCGTCATCCGGCATGAATTACGAATAGTTTAATAAAATAGTGTGTAAATAGTCCCTTTGCGTATCTATTTTATCTAGAAGAAATTGTCTTAATGGGATTAAAAAATTAAACTCGTAAAATGCCTGTGTCAAACCCATTCAGAAAAAAATCAATCTTTCCAGCTCCACTACAAGAGATTAAAGATCAGAAAATGTAACACTGAATTATGATCAGGACGGTTTTTCATCTAGATCAGAGGTTCTCAGTCTTTTTTTTCGCTGGCGTACCACTAATTCTAATTTAACACACTAAATGTACCACAAACCAAATGCGTTCAGGGAAAACTTATTTATGTTAATATTATCTTTTGATTTTCTTACTTAGTTCGCGTATCACTCAATATTGGCTCGCGTACCATAGGTTGATAAACGCTGACTAGAGCGAAGAACACAGTAAGGATAAATAATAAAAAAAACTTTAATGTCAAGTGGGAAAAAAGAATTCGGAAAATAAGAAAAATATCTATGATCGGTACACGAGGACAAAATATTTGGGAAGCATCGAGGTAAGTAATACCCTATGAGACTACACGTTTTTCAGAAATACGTTTTAAAACTGCAGACTACATTTAAGTGGATTAGAATGTGGTTCCGTATCAGAAATGAACGTTCAGTAACAGGGACTTCTTTGAAATCTGACTAATTATTTACTACTACGAATCAAGATAGTGTGATGCCCCCCCCCCCCCAGTGTGATCTTCAATTATGTATGAGATTTATGGATACTATAAACTATTGCAGGTTCTGATAAATGTTAATTTATGAGATGGTGAGACGCATGTGACGTATCATAATATTCTGTTCCAAAACAGGTTTATCTTCAGGCTGATTTTGGGAAAACTGCATTATCTGGTGGAATGTTATCTAGGCTCCGATTTAAATTAAAACGATGTTCTAATAGTAAGGAGCTCAGAGATTTGCAAAGCTCGAAGCAGAGGAAAGTATTTCGCAACTCGAAGTAGAGTGAATTTTGTTTATGAACTATACATTTACAGTTTCGTAGGAACTTACAAGACAACTTATTTTATCCAAAAACCTAAGCTTCATGAATTTGAGCTTCAGCTTCAGAAAGTTAATGAATACACATGTTAGTACCTGTCATGTATCGAATAACTGGATAAATCGATTGCATTCAAGAAGGAAATAATTTTTGGGTTTTGGCGCAAGAAAAACTGTACGTAATAGCAAATACATTCGGTTTTAGCAGTAAATGTTAGAAACTTTCTTTTTTGCTAATGAGACATTCTAAATAATTCTTAAACGCGAGTACTAAGTTATTATATTATACTTTACAATCTGTGAGAATAAAGCACTATTTTTTTTTATTTTCCTTATCACGCTCTTAAGAGTTCAGTGGCATTTATATGCGTCTTTTGTGAAAGAGGCAAACTGCAAATAAGGGATGCTGTTGGGGGCAATGGACCTTGTGGTGTATTAATCGCTACTGTTTGCTCAAGGGGGCGTCTTTAATATCCGGCTGCTGCTTCTGCCATATGACGCACGAGGAATTGGTGCTGTTATTGACAAAGTGCTGTGGGGACGGAACCTCTAAACTACCCTGTTCTCTTACAGATGAAATTCTTCTGCTAAACACCGCAGGGAAATGCCAAGAGTATCTGTTTTGTAAAGTGACGGGACAGGTCAAACATAAAAATGTAAGACAACTTTTAATGTCGATTTAACTTCAAAGTGAAAGTATCTGGGAACAAAATGAAGTTTAATAGATCTGATATAACCTTACAATAAAATTAATCCTTTGAACCAGAAGCTTCTCTAAATAATATTTAAGATTTCAGTACTTGCAGCAAAGAAAACACAGCATTTTGGCATCACAATGACGAGTTGTTTAATGCTGTTGAATAAAAAGTCATTGTTTACAGTCGGAATCATAAAAAATCCACAAATAAAAAAAGACGTGTTCTTTATTGTTGACGCAGGTAGCACAAACAATTGTCATTGTGCTGTAAAGGGTTAAGATTTCAAATGATGATCATAATCTTTTCTACATATTAGGACCCGAAGATAAATATCTATCTCAGGCAAAAGGGCCGAGGAAAAGGGGATAATTTTATGTTATAGAAGAAATGTTAATTTTGCAAGTTATTTCGTGTTGCAAGTTACAGTTTTTAAGAAAACTGTACTCTGGGATGTTGCGCCTTGTTGTAGTCTGGTATAGGTTTCCCGAATGCTTAAAATTAACCAGCTGAATTTGAGCTTCAGCTTCAGAAAGTTAATGAATACACATGTTAGTACCTGTCATGTATCGAATAACTGGATAAATCGATTGCATTCAAGAAGGAAATAATTTTTGGATTTTGGCGCAAGAAAAACTGTACGTAATAGCAAATACATTCGGTTTTAGCAGTAAATGTTAGAAACTCTCTTTTTTGCTAATGAGACATTCTAAATAATTCTTAAACGCGAGTACTAAGTTATTATATTATACTTTACAATCTGTGAGAATAAAGCACTATTTTTTTTTATTTTCCTTATCACGCTCTTAAGAGTTCAGTGGCATTTATATGCGTCTTTTGTGAAAGAGGCAAACTGCAAATAAGGGATGCTGTTGGGGGCAATGGACCTTGTGGTGTATTAATCGCTACTGTTTGCTCAAGGGGGCGTCTTTAATATCCGGCTGCTGCTTCTGCCATATGACGCACGAGGAATTGGTGCTGTTATTGACAAAGTGCTGTGGGGACGGAACCTCTAAACTACCCTGTTCTCTTACAGATGAAATTCTTCTGCTAGACACCGCAGGGAAATGCCAAGAGTATCTGTTTTGTAAAGTGACGGGACAGGTCAAACATAAAAATGTATGACAACTTTTAATGTCGATTTAACTTCAAAGTGAAAGTATCTGGGAACAAAATGAAGTTTAATAGATCTGATATAACCTTACAATAAAATTAATCCTTTGAACCAGAAGCTTCTCTAAATAATATTTAAGATTTCAGTACTTGCAGCAAAGAAAACACAGCATTTTGGCATCACAATGACGAGTTGTTTAATGCTGTTGAATAAAAAGTCATTGTTTACAGTCGGAATCATAAAAAATCCACAAATAAAAAAAGACGTGTTCTTTATTGTTGACGCAGGTAGCACAAACAATTGTCATTGTGCTGTAAAGGGTTAAGATTTCAAATGATGATCATAATCTTTTCTACATATTAGGACCCGAAGATAAATATCTATCTCAGGCAAAAGGGCCGAGGAAAAGGGGATAATTTTATGTTATAGAAGAAATGTTAATTTTGCAAGTTATTTCGTGTTGCAAGTTACAGTTTTTAAGAAAACTGTACTCTGGGATGTTGCGCCTTGTTGTAGTCTGGTATAGGTTTCCCGAATGCTTAAAATTAACCAGCGTTTCAGTAAACATTGCAGTTGTCATCTTGATTGTTAATATATAATTGCTGTACGTTTTGAAAAACTTTATATAAGACATCTTCCAAGAACACCTAGCCATTAATTACATATTAACCCCAAAGTTTGTAAGAGCAATGTTTGTCTAAACGTCGGATAACGTGTGTTTATATTTTTAAATAAGTGATCACGAAAAGGAGCATTGGTGTTAGGTGTACAATACAATGCGTAGTATAAAGTATACAGCACATCCACTGCTTAATCTTTATTGTCTCAATAAATTTTCCTCTCAACTCGATAAACCCGCATATCAGATTAGATCAAAATGCCTAGACATTGCAACTGCCGACGAAATATTTTCCTTAGAACGGCTTAGTGAATTTCCATTGTTAACCCGCTTACACACGTCAGTTGCTCGTGTTAACAGATGATATTCCTTGTTGTTCCATTACAAGGGAACAGGAGAATGGTGTAGACATTTAGACTGGTGGCAGTACGTTACGCTGTAAACACATACAAAACACGCACGTAATTAGAACGTCACTAAATGTTTAAGAGTCCCGGCTGGACAGAGCCAAGGAGGATCTATGTACACTGTTTTGTAATTTACTCTAGTTCTGGCCGACTTAACAGCACCAAACACTCCCTACCTCGTTTTCATTCTGTCCCAAGTCTGTATGTAAACTGTGCTAATTGCTTCAGTACCTACTTCATCCTTCCTAAAGGCCGGATAAGAAGGAATTGTCGCTGATTGATTAGCAAACCTACGGCTCTGCGATACTAAATACGAACTGCAGAATCGAATTTGCGTGGGTACGAGATGAAGCTCTCCTTAACCAGCATCAGCCCATGAAAGGGTAAAGGAGGTGTTAAATTAAAGTCCTCCGAATGCTCAGATATTCTTAGTCGAATACAGTGGATAATAGTTGGCTCGTATATTATTTGATGTTGGCGAATACACTATACTATTAGCAGAAAAAAGAAGACGAAACAGTGTAGAAAATTATGTAACGTGGAATTGAGTAATTTTTACTTTTACATCATATAACAAAACAAATTATAGTGCTGTAGGCAAAAATCAAAAATAAAATTTTGGTTTCGTAAACACAGGTGCATAAAAGTGGGATATTTCTTGACCAGCTTAGTAACTATCGATATATTAAGGAAGTTTAAGTATCATGGCGTTGTTGTGAACGAACAGATTTATGTAGGGTAATTTTCTGAGCAGTTTCACACACTTGGTTTGTATACCATTGTAATCAAGAATAGTAAGCTGCAGAGAAATTGTTTTGTAAATACTAATATTTAAATTCGTACCAAATTTGTCAAGCTCAATGGAAGACACATCTTGGAAGACGTAGGCGTGGATGAAAGAATAATAATAGTAACATTTATATTGCAAAGATACGTTTTGAGGATGTGAATTAGATTCTTCTGACTCAGAATAGGGGAAACCCCCCAGTAAATGTAATTGACGGTACGTGGTAACAAATAGGTCTCAAAATGGTAATCAATATGATCCCGTGTTCTATATTTTATTAACACGAACCGTTTCAGTTTATGAAATTTATTTAGGGAGATAAAATGTTATCACATCTTTCCTCAGGAACCAAAATATCCTTCCATACAACCTTTTACTCATTGTGCCTCTCACTTTAAAATAACCTCATTTTTATATAAAGTTTTGCATTAAGCTACTTCAGTCGAAGTTTAATTTACAATGTTAAAAAAATTTAGATTTGTGTTAAACGAATTTCTAGTTACAACGGAATGAGGTATATTGTTTATTGCGAACTTTGGAGTGTGGAGCGAAAGACGTATTTCGTGATTAGCACACCATGTTGCCAGTCCCTGGCAATGAAGAAAGCGTTCCCTACAGTTCAGTCTGCCAAGCAGAACTGAGAACTTTGCATGCCACTCACCCCTTACAGGCTACCGAGAAGTTCCATTGCCCTGAAAGACCGTAATCTACCTACCTTCATGACTAACTAAGTAACTACCTAGATTGTAACTCCATGGAGTTGAGTCTCGCTTGATAAGCTAACAGTACGCTCAGCTAGTCGAAAAATTCCAAAAGTTTTATCTAACCAGAAGGTTCAATACCGTGTTCATAACAACCCGCTACCGGTCCCTACCTTGAGCCAGATGAATCCAATCTATATTCCGAAGTAGCTGATTCTCAATACGTTTCCAGAAAGGTAGTTTAAGTTATATTTTTAGTGGTCATCTTTATTGTATTTACAAATTTATTGTTACAGTTATTAATCACACTGCTTGTATTTATAAATTAATTTATTAAATATACACACAGACAGTTTTAAATTACTTCTATGGATGAGAATGGGACTAGTTGTGTTTTATTTAATATATTAAATTTTTCAGGGACGTCAATTTCTCAGGAAATCGTAACATAATTTTGGCTTCAGGCAAATTTGTATTTGTGTTAGACTGATACAGACAAAACCATAATTGACGTAACAACTATTTGTGTTGACTGTAGATGTAACATTTTTTTTCGAAATGCTTTGTAGATGAAACGTATGGATCAACAGACATGTGACATCCCAAACGTGTACTTGTTTCAGTTTGTGGAGATTTATTTTAATCACAAAAAGTAATATTAGTGATCTAGACATGTGCAATATTACAAAGGATGCTTTTGACACAAGGGATAATTTTATTGCAATTTAACATAGTAAATTTCAAATCAGTCTGAGCCATTATTGAAATTGGGAATATGATGCAAACTACATTTGATTGGTGTAATATGTTAGTGCCACCTAAAACATTGCTGTCAAATGCACGTGTTAACCAATACAGACAGCTTGTTAACTGTTTCTTCAGAGTTGTTTTTTTGTCTGTCTTTATGCGCATGCGATAAATATACAATGTTACATAAATAAATTGGTTCGTCGATTACTCTTCGCGAACGGATGTGATTTCGTACGTGTCATGACATATTTCTACAGCCCTGTGATCTTTTAAAAATATTCAGTTTAATTTGACTATTAACTTACGTGTGTTTTAGGTAGCGTACCATAAAATATAATGACACTAAAATAAGAACCGAGTGGAGTAGAACAGCGGACACGTAACCAAGAAGTATCCGGAACTTTTAGTAATTAAATGCATCCAGCACTTTCCGCCGTCGATCCAGGAAAGTGCTGAAGTAGTGCCTGGAGTAGCCCTGGATTAAATTATCAATAAAATAGGCGTGTGTGCTCACTATCTAATTTTACACTAGGCCTTTCTCAGTTAAGAACTGGAGTTACAGGCGTTAGACATGGGCTTGTACGAATCAGTTCATTGATTTGTTGAGTTTAACTCCATGTACAAAAGACTGTTTAAGTCCACCATCGGGGTTTTTGTAATTTAAAGCACTAATTTAACCTTAATGTCGGTGTTCTCTTATTGGACCGACTTTATTCTTATAACATGAAACTTAATCTACCTTCCCTGTTTCCACTAATACCGTTTTTACATTTCCACCTAACGTTAAACAGATATTCTCATATATTCATTTATTCTACGTTAGTACAGTTCATCATTCATGTGTAAGCTACTTTACGGTTAAGTAAGCTATATCTTACCAATAAATTATTTATTCTACTTTCTCGTCACAAAATATTGTAATAAAATCTGTAGAAATATTCATTTCCCTTAGACATCGAGGCGTCCTACCTTTCCAGACCCCTTCTCAACAACATCAACTTCCTTACACCCCGCCAGCACACCGCTCCCATATATACAGCATTCTATAGATGGGTCCCTAACTCAATAAATTTTATATTAAGATATAATAATTCATTGAATTGAGAAATGTTGTTTTACACATTCAGTAGAATGAAGCTGTTTCACTTCAGAATTCTGAAATTACTACACCTAGTTTGATGCTGCAGGAACTTGAAGTGATTAGTCTGTTTTCATCAGACTAGGTAGACATTTCCTACCAAATGCGATAGGCTATATCGATTCCCACCTGTTGCCCCATTCAGGTGACGTTTTGTGATTGGTGTGACTGACGTCACCTGTCAAGTTGTTGAAATGAGCTGTCATCCTTTTACTTTATCTGATATAGAGAATTTCTTCCAATTATCTAAGCCAATTTCCTTCTTTTAAATATTTCAGGATAATTGGTGAGACCTACAGGAGGTCTACGTTAATAATTAAAAATATTTACTGATTAATTTTTGTGGATAATTTAAAATAGTACAGATACTGACTAATCGTCCTGAAGATGGAGGCGGTAACACCTCTGAAACGTCGGTGAAAATGTATCAGACTATACATGGCGTATCAACCCATGGCATTTGAGGTTCTCAAGGCTTCGAATGTGAAGATGGCTGTCTTATACGTTGTAGCGCCTTGTAGTCTGGTAGACGTGTACCGACGTTTCGGTTACTTTCTGCCTTCATCATCGTGAAATGAACTGCTATATTTCGGCAGGGACTAATCCAGATCGTGGTGATGAAATTTGGCTTGATCTTTGATTTTACCTCTGAGTGTTGGGCGTGAATGGTCTGGTAGCGTTCGTCCCCGGTATACGTCGTGAGTCCCACTGTTAGCAGGTGGTAATAGTCCTTCCTTCGTATCCAGGACACCTGCAACATAAACCGAAATTCCACTGGATCAGCACACAGAATCGTTAAAGCCTATTCTTTCAAGATTCCCGACTTCAGTTCATTAATTCGATAAGGATAGAAAGAGTAATCAGATTGCAGGGGAATAGACATGTTGGTCGATTTAAAATGAATCTTAGAGAAACAGGATTTAAGGGTGAATATTTTACTTATATGCCTCAGGACAGCGGCAAATTTTTGGCTGTTTTAAATGAGCCATAGAGTTCCATAAAAATGAGGGGAATTTCTTAACTAGATAAGCTCGCTTTTTGTATCTGAACTTCATTTCATGGAGCTTGGAGTTTACTTTTGAGGAATATTTGACACACGACGTTTCGGGACTTGGCTCTATTCCTGTTTATTGTAATTATTTCATTGTTTATCGTGACTTTAAACTAATTTTTGACATACTATTAGATTGTGTGTGATAATGGAAAGATTGATTTTACAACAATACATTATTTTACACATTATACACTATTTTAATCTTAGTTAATAAATTAAGCATCTTTTATGGAACACGAGAATTCCTTGTAGTGTTCAAGAGACCCCGCCTTTGATATTTTATCATCAGCCGTGCGAATCCAATTAACATCTTTCCACTCAGATGCAATTTAATTTTATCCTCCCGCACAGGCCTGTACGTCACAAGCTGTGTCTTCCCTTCAGGTAGTCCAACTAAAATTCTGAGAGCACTTTTCAATTCTTCTAAACATATTAGCAATGTGTTTCTTCCACGTCATACTTCTTGATTTGTTCCTTTTAACGACACTAAATGTAGAGTAAATATTATGACTTACGCAGTTTCTCCATTCTCCTGTGTATTTTGTGTATATGACTTCTTATGAGTATTTCCTGTATGTTATAAGACAGGATATTTCCAGCAAAAGGTGACTCCTTGATTTTTATGAAGCCGAATTTAAATGACGCGATGTTATTTAATTCGTAATTCATTCTACAGTAAAATTATAGTAAAATGATTGGGATAATATTCACTGCACACGTGCAGAATTTCACTTCAGGTTCCCCTCAGACCTTCGCCCTACGAAATGGCGTTTATTCCTTCCTTTCGGCGCCTGCATGCGTTCATGGCGGACTGCATACGCATAGAGGCAGTCTGGCCACATCACTAAATTATCAATTGTTACATTAATAATATATGAATTGAGCATTCATGCATCAAAGCATAGCTGTAATATCTCCGGATTTTCACTTCAAGTAATTTATCTGAGATTGACATTTATAACTGTTAAATATGGGAAATTTCAGTTCGCTTCAATGGGTATACGTTTTGAATTTCTGCCTCAGGCTTTAATTTCTCGAACCCCTCTTTTCATTTCACACAATTCATCTGCAACTCTACGAACAGATGCAAAAATCATGGCCGAGAAGTTGTCCATAATTCCACACGTTTTCACGATGGATGCAGTAGTGTTTAGGGATTCGAATTAGTGTTGAATCCATTTAGTGCAACTCTACAGTTTCGGTAAGCGTGGTTATCGCAGTGATGTTCATGCTTCGTAGGATATGCATGTAGTTTTTATGCGCGGTAGCAAACGTGGTAATTCGTGTGTGTACGTCGTACAACATGTCAGTAGAAGAGGTAATGATGCTCGCATGTGACTCGTTCACTTGGTGTATGGTCATCACGCTTGTTGGCATGTCGCCTGGGAGAGTAAGTTGTCTGCTCACGAAACATAACCTCAACCCCATTTCGTTAATATTCACATTGTCTCCAACGGAGCGGAAATACAGTGACAATAAACATTCTGATGTGTGTGCTAAGATTTATGTGTGAGCGTTTCTATTTTTAACCTTAGATATTAGCTACCTTTATAAAATTTTGTCCTGTGCTCTACTTCGTTTCGTCTGTGTTTACCTCTATACTAACTTTGTTACTTGCATGAATAGACTGTCTGCGTTTCATGACATTAAGCCCAAAATATTGTGCTGTGTTAAACTGTCAGGTCCCTATAAACCTAGCATTTTTCGCTCTATTTGATAATTCATCGTCCTGATGACGGAGGCAGTGTGACCACTGAAACGTTGGTGGACATCTACTACACTACACGGAGTATCTGCCGAATATTAAAATGAAAACGAAATTGTGGTAATACTTTAAGCATATCTTAATCCTCTTTGTAGAAACGGCAACTCTTAATGCAAGATATTTCGTCCCATGCAATCTCAGTTTCACTTAAGCCTCATTAAAGTGGTTCAACCGCAGTTGATAACTCGGAGTGAAAGTTGTCTCTCGCTCAGGGCAGTGTGCCAACCCCGTCTCTGGCTTGTGAAGGTGCGCCATCGACGGACGGGAAGCTACGGCAGCCGTAGGGCGCCATTATGCACGAACCGTATCGTGTTTTATAACGACGTTGTTTCTGCACAATTTTCTTCATCCGAATGTTGTTTCTTGTGTTATGGCATAGAACTGCAGAATGTTGTTTTAACTCTAAAATTAATTGAAAAGGTGTACTCTTTGGAGGACACTGACATTTCAAAAGTGTTCTTCACGCTACATCACGTAGGTCATTGTTCAACTAATTCTACAAAAAAGGATGGTAGTATCGTACGATAGCCCCACGCCTGGCAGCCAAACTGGGGAGATGTGGTCCGAGGTGCGAGGTGTTAGAAAATCGTACCCGTTTGGGGTTCCCCGAAAGTTCCGAAACCCTGCTTTGGCCTGGATGATGTAATGTGAGATGCCAGAGGCACAGGACGTCTAGAATACCTAAGGCATGGAGGGGTAGTGTACAAGGGGCAGGACGCCATGACATGGCGGAACGAGCGATAGGAGACAAAGGCTTTTGGGGACAAACGGTAGTCCAGCTTAATGTGACTAACAGGTACAGCAGGTTCACATTGTTTTGCAACATTTGTCCCCGGTTATACTTGAGAAACAGTGTCACTCATCTAGTTAGGAAAGTTCCTGCCTATTGTGTGGTCATTAACTTAATTAGTGGGTTCACAACAGCCCACTGCTTCTCCACATAATGAAGCTAGATGAATCAAGTGGACATCCTCACATCCTATTTATTTAAAATCCGTTTTAATATTATCTTCCATATTCCGAACAAGTATCTCAAGCGATCTTCTTCTTGCAAGATTATTGGCTGAAACTAGCCATTACTAGTATTATTATTTGTGAAATATTGGGTTATATTCTCGAAGAAAATGTCGTCTATCCTGGTAGTGTAGGATTTTGCAATAATGTATTCGCCATGTTTTCGCGTTCTTTAGTATAACGCACATCTGACATTAGAAATACAGTTGTCATATGTTATTGACAGAACTAATAAGCGCAACTGATGGACTATAAAGCTATAGAAACTAAATATTATTTTTCGATTAGTTTGATTAAATATACGTCATGTCGATGGTTGTTCGAGCAGAAAGATTCTGCTTTCCTTGGCTACAGTTTGAATGATTAAACACTCATGTACTTTTGCCATCCAACTTATAAAATATAATGTTTAAGTTTTCAAAGTCGCCTGTTCCTTTATTGTAATTGTTGTACAACCATTACATTGAATTTCATCTGTTCTTCTCACAGGATTGACCAGTAATTTCACTGCATGGCCATCAGACGCTGGTGAGTACAAGACGCTCATTAAAATTTATTTATCTTTTCTAAAATAAGTGTATATTAAGATAATTTCTGCTGGACGTATTTTTATATATTGCTTTATAAATAAAACTAATTTAGTCTTGATAAAAATACGCAATACAGACCAATTTTATATGCGTTAATCACACCGATTTTAATTTCGTGTGTATGACGAATGCCAAGCTACATGTTTACATCGGAGTAACTTTAAAATGAAATAAAATAAAATAAAATAAAATAAACTTACGTAGCAGATGGCCATAAACATGTCGATTGTATCTGCGAAGGAAGCAGTTTCAATGAGAATCTGAGATGAATGGCCGAATGTTGTCCTGTTTGTTGCGAAGTAAAAAAGAAAACCATGTTGCGACTCGCTATACTTGGGCGGGCCTAGCAATGCTTTCTTGGGAATAGAACGGGAAAATGTGAAGGCAGCAGCCAGCAGGGAGGTCAGATAAGTTTAGCGATGTTATTTACAGCGACCGAATCTCTCGTTACACAGAGTTTCAACGAAATGAGAAGATTCTGTACTCATTTCGCGAGAATTTTTTTTTTAGAGAAGCAATTGAAAGTGTGTGTAGAAAAATGTAACAAAGAGGCAGTAACAGGATCACGAGAAACAATTTATTACGAAACGCGTGTTACAATCAGTGTCATGTAATGTTTTGACGCTTGTTTAGACACAGCGGGTGGTAAATTTACGACAAGTGGATTAAACAGAGCGTTGGATCTGTGAAAGGCAAAATACCTTAAAATAGAGCCCATCGGAAGCTGACGGAAGTACAGCCAATGAAGTAATTATATTCCATTTATTTAATCGTAAGCTTCATTAGAGTCTTTACAACAACCTGACATTTGAGCCTACGTGACTTCGTAGAAGGTATAATTCCTAAACTAACGCATTCCTTTGTATCTCTCATCTCGTACGTGCTACATGCACAATCCATCTCATGCCTCTTGTTTTCAAGCATACAAATTTTGAAGCTTTAAACAAATAGTCACACTTAATTTACAATCAGTTTATTCGGAATAGGAACATATTATGGTTATGATTAGAAGTATTCGTGGAAGTTGAAGTTTACAGAGCTTAAGGACACGTGTTTAATGAATTCAGCCAAGTACAAAAGAAATCGGCCACCCGTAAGTAGCAACGATGCAGAAGAAAAGCTGTTACACAGAAGTGTCAAAGCAAATTATTAAGTGGTCGAGGGAAAATTTTTATGTGGCGACAATATCGTAGGATGTTTGTCAGTGCACAGAACCTTAGAACATGCTGAAAGGCTTCGGCTGCAGATGTCAGTTCCATTCTATTCAAGTACAAATAATAGAAAATACTGAAAGCGATGAGGCCATTAGAGGCGATTGGTTTTTGACAAATGGAGGAGTCTGTGTCTTGGAATATTATCATCAAGGTTCTATTCTTATACACAGAAATTGAGGCTTTCAGTTCTGACAAACTCCTTTTCTCTCCCCAAGACGCCAGGAAAAGTGTTTAATATTGGTTGTGTCGTGGTTAGAGATCAAGACGATTTGACATTTGCTGAATGTTAAGACTTTTACTTGTTTCTGGTTCTAGAATGGAGCAAATATAGGTTAGTCAGCGTTGTTACTAGACTCCGGGCTGGGCAACCAGAATCGATTTCTCACTGGGTTGTAGAAGTGATAGGGGTTTTATTATTTTTTTTGGGGGGGGGAGGCATCTTATAGTTAGAAGGTTCCCAGGCAATGCTGGTTCGTCATTCCGTTAAGGCTAGAATAAGAAAGAAGACGTTAGGGCGATAAGTAATGAGAGTTTGATAAAAGATAAGGCGGAATTTTTATTTTTATTATCGATAAAAGCTGAAATTATAATTTGGTAGGTTAAGTATGTAATCTAGTGGTCTCGATAATTATACTGAATCTGTCTTCGTATGTACCAAATTTCATGCAATTATGTTCTGTAGCTACGAATATCGAACGCATGGACGGACAGACACAGTCTCCCATCATGCATTTATTTGGTGAACATTATATTCCCTGCCGAAAGACTTCAGTTGAACGGTGTAGCCTAAGACCAGGCGCTCAGGCTGCAATGATATGGACCACTCTAGACAGTTTTCGTCTCTACCTGCATCGCGGAACATTAGAAGCCACAGGCGATGTGAAAAGGCGCCATTAAAGTAAATCGCTTTTCAGCAGCAAAACTTGCTTCCTTTCACAAATCTCTCCTGTTTTTATGGCTTCAACGCAAACATAGAATGTTGTGATAACTTAATAACAATTTTTTTGAAGACACGACGAGAGAAACATTTCCGTTCGTACGGTATTATTAGCCATAATTTTGTCCACAGTACACTTATAATCGGAGTGCGACTAAATATTCTTACGCTGTGGTGTTTGGTAGAAGTTGTTTCAGAGCTAATTACTGCCTCCATCACCAGGGCGATCGCGTATAATTGAATTTTCCACTTTCGCATTTATAATGGCGCATATAATCGAATCCGCGTTGGACAAACCTACAGTGGAGGAGGGTTTACTGTATGTTTCTCCGAAACTTTGTCATCTACCTACACGGCGTCAGGAGGTTAACGTAACCAGGATGAAAGTTGATGATGAATGTGAGGAGGTAGCATTGTCTTACCGTGCCGTCTCCGATGTTGCTGACGACGCAGGGGATGAGGGTTGTACTTCCGGTCTGTGCTGTTACGGAACTAGAGTTCTGAGTCGCGAAGTGAACCGGCTGAGGCGAGAAGGTGGCCGATAATTCGTTCCACTCGACTGGGACCTCTGTGCCGACCAAGGTCGCCGGTTGTGAACGAGGTCGTCGGTCCGGGTTGTCTTTGCTGCTGCTGTTGGTACTACTGGCTTCTGCAAAAGAAGTACAAGTAGACTGTCAGACAGATGGATGAACTTGCGCCTCATCACCAGGTTCTACTCAGTTGTGTTTCTTTAGCTCGTCATGAAATTCAGCGTCTTTTTTGCAACCATAAGATTCATTACTGTCTTCACAAGAACCTACAACTGATCCACTACATAACTTCACACCATATTAAAGATCCATTTTAATATTATCCTCATGTCTAACCCTAAATAAATTATTTTCTATAAGTTTATTATCGAAAACTTCGTATGTATGCCTCATTTTACAACAGCTTATACTTGTTCTACTTATATTATCCTTCTTAACGTGACCAATCATTATTACTGGAAAACGTGTTTGAATTATGAAGCTCGTCATTATGAAGATGGAAACAGTATGTTCTTCTGGTACGCCGGTATCTACCTGTAAGTGCGTTAAAACCCAGAAGAACATGGGCTTCTTCGGCAACGTGTCGCTGTTGAGACGAAAAAAATCACGCAGGCTCAATTTCTCATTCCAAATCTTGGTCTCACGTTCATGTCTCCCCCACCCCCCGACCTCTCGTCGCCTCCAGCGAAACCAATTCGCCGTGTACATGTCACAGGTTGTGCACAAAAACTTTCCATCTGCAGAGATTTGAGTTTGCTCAGTAAAGGTAAATATGTTTCCTCTGGAAGAATTCAATCTCTCAGGGCAGTTTCCGATATGTGATGGTTGTTTTGCTTGAATTGTATACCTAAGTTAAGTTACAACTGTAGGATTTTCAATAAGAATTTTTAAGGGCTATTAGTGGGCTCAGCGAAGTTAAAAATATTTGAGTTGTGAACAGGGAATGGAAGACGCCTCCATATACAGGCGATTACTTACAAAATACTCAGATAATTTTGATACGAATGTACCATGCAATTGTACTGAGATTTTAAGAATTTATGATAACTGAATGCAATGAAAATTTCTCGGGTTATCAGCCATGTCATTATGCAGTAAATTTATAATATTTATTTTATAATCTCTGCCCCCATGATTAAAAAACCTGTTCCAAATTCAACAGAATTCTTCATTGCATGCCGTAATATTACCTACATATTCTGCATGAAACACTTTTGTTTTGGTTTTTTTAAGTTTACAAACATGATTGCGGTATGAAATTTTGCGGTTATAATATAGAGATTTAACTTTTTACTGTTTAGATGTAAATATTAACAAAATTGGATCATTAATTTGTGTACTAATTAGTACGAAGTTTTTTTATACCCTCATCCATTATAAAGTATATAAACATATTAAGTTCCCACCAAATATTTTGTTAGTATTAACAAAATTGAGACCGTGTTCTGTCACAATACAACGCTGATATACAGTTTGTTCCTCAAGTCCAGGGTTTCAAAAATAGTTTCGCTGCTAGGTCTGGGTATATCAGCGACAAAAACAAATGACTACTGTGTCTTGTTAATGGACTCCACAAATCATTGTCCCGAGAAAATCAGAACCTATAGACATTTTTTCCCGTATAACGGGAAGGAAAGCATTTCCATTGTCAGAACAATGTTCTATTTTGCGATTGGTTCACAGATCTCTTGTGAATATAATGGTACATTTCGTATTTCAAATGGCGTTTACCATTTGTTATAGAAACTTACTCAAACTATAAGTCTGCTGACTTTATAGTCTATCTTACATAATTTTTTTAATAATTACCCCACATGTCTAATATCGTCCTGATAATGGGAACAGGAATCGCTTCTGAAACGCCAGTTAATGTCTACCAAGATTGCACTGCGTAATGTCTCTTTAACATAAAATTTTATTTATGACGGTGTTAAACAGAAAGAATGAAACGTTCTTTAAAGTACTTTATTAAATATTAACATCGTAAAATCTTTCAGATAGAAGCTGTGCAACCTAAGGAGTTTTTATTTTATTTTTTTATTTATTTATGTACCAGTTTGTACGATAAACCGCCCTGGGGGAACAATATGGAGAACATTTTGCGCTGTATGAATCGAGGATATGTGAAATTGATGCATATTTTGATATATTTTAATATGGAATATCATAAGATTAAACCACAGAAAGACATGAGCATAGATGGGAGGATAATATTAAAATGTATCTAGGAGAATACGGATCCATGGTGGTGGTCTGGATTCGGTTGCCTAACAAGAGGATCAGTCAGTGCAACCCTGTGGTAACCGTGACGACTGAGGCAGCAAGCCCCCTCTCAAACGTATGCAACTTTCTGCTAGCGTAAACAACATATATGTTGAATTTTTTTTTGTGAAAAGTCGTACGTTTCACAATTGAAAATTTATATCCTGCCTGCGAAAAGTAAATATTTTCGAATGTAGAGAGACAATGTATGAGTTGTTGATTTGTTTCTAATATTTACATTTGGATAAAATTGATAGAATGATAAGCAGCACAAATAACTAACCTGACTCACGTACTTATGCCACAGAACAAATAGTAAGGTCTAATATAAACAGGACACATACCTCATTGATCGGAGCAATGCTTGGTAGTATACACACAAATGCAACCACTGTTAGCAAATAACAGAGTTCTGAACACTGTAGGATATTAAACAGCCATTCTCGAAACCCTGTACACGTATTCCGTCTGCATTCCGTTGAGGTTACAGTAAGGGAAATTGAACCGGATGTGTGAAACGCGTGGGGGGTTGAGCCTTTTTTCAAAACTAGAACACCTACTTCTCTGTGGTTAACACACAGACTAATTCTTTATGCGAGAAGCCCTAACTACATCTCATTACATGTTGACGTAACCAATTAATTTCAAGTCCCTGCCTTCGCAAGCCTTCGAGATAGAGGCGGAAATTACCTCCGAAACGTCGGTGAACTTCTCCCATACTACATGGCGTAAAAACCCAGAAGCAACGACTGTTGGAGAAACAACACTTACGAAAACAGAAGCGTAATGTACGATGCAATAATAGAGTAAGTAAATGATGGTACTGTTACTGTAAGCAACGCGATGAACTCGTGATATTTATTATCGTTGAGAGAGTAACTCGTACTTCGAAATCGTTAAATTACGCTCATATTTTATGAAGGAAAAGATGAACATTTTTTAAAATATCGCAGCGTGTATCCTCTGCCGTTTTGTTATAAAAGTGATAATTTAAAGTGGGCGTGCCAGCTATTTAATAATAATTATCAGTATTTTCAAACGTAGTTATTAGACCCAATACAAATATATATAATAAATAATGGATTGAACAGGAGATTTAAAATAAAAAAGGCTGAATACTAGAGGTGGTTATAAAATAAGAACTAATGGCAAACAGATCAATTTGTAAATAGTAAAGTGATTTTAGGATAATGTTAAAATGGATCATAAAGAAAAAGATATGAGTATATGCAGTAATTTAATGTGACAAAGGATGGAGACCAGTGATTTCAATTAATGTGGTGGTAAATATTATGTTTCCGTAAAAGGCGGAAATATTTTTTAAAGAAATTAGGGAATGTCAGATTCTCAATGACTCCGTTCCATTAACAACAGTCTATCAATTTATTAGTCAAGGAGTCAGGCGACTTGTTCATCCAGTCCTGACAAAATCGTGTTGTAGTGATAGTTAGTGACTATTTTTTTTATAGCTCATTCCTAAGTTGCCTTTATCATGTTTAGTTAGTTTGATCTTTTAAGCGTATTTGTTTAAGTGGCCGTGTTACTTCTGTTTAATTCTGAGAGTTAATGTAGATTGTTATTGACTACAACTCGCAGGTGGATACGGGTAGTGAGGGTATAGTAGATTACAAAAGGAAACGACAAGAAATTGATAGGAGGTAATTTAATATTGGCTTGCATTTAGACAGGTCTCTTGCGCTCAGATGTAATTAACCTCTTTCTGATAAACCGTCGAAGCTCCATGGTAGACTAAAACGTCATCACATCTCTGTCTAACATTTATACGTCTCAGTGCTTAGTTATTCACTGATACTATTGCAACTGCATTGTGAAACGTGGAGATGGCGCTCAGTCGTGAATAAGGAATTTATACCGAAATTTGGCTCTGGGAAATTTTAGACAACTTAATGGCAGTGAGCCTATTATACGAAATCTCTCTAATAATCTACTAGGACAGTGCGGTTTTTATGAATTGTGACGTGCAGGAGACTGGAAACAAGTTTATGTGCTTCGGCACGATTCGACGTACTCTCTGAAGCGTTGTGATGATCATGTGAACACAATTTCATTCCCGAGAGAGTTCTGTTAATACGAGAAGTGACACAGACATGTTTCCCTTGGATGACTAACAAAGTATCTTACAGACACTTTCATATAAGTTTCTTTGCGATGTAAACAACATAAAGTAAATAATTTGTTCTTTATTTGCGACTGCTTCCCACAAGATGAATCATCATCATTATTGAGTACACTGTTTTCTTGTATTTTAAATTTATGGAACACGAAACATGCATATACACCTATAGGATTATATATATATAAGCCTTGTAATCTTATGGAATCAGTATGTTGATGTTTATTCATAGACTATTGGCTTTTTCGTTCAAATAATCTCTGACAATGCAGTCACGAAAGTAAAGACTGAACAACGTCTCCTATTTATTCCACAGAAGTTTGAGTAAAATTCTCTTTGGGTTTGAGACTGTGAGTATAAAATAAGGAAAATTTTTAAAACATCACCGTGCATACGAACATCCACCACTGGATCGATTTCACTTGGGCTTCATTTTTCTAAGTTACTTTTTAATATTATATTTCTAGGTGCGTTTTGATTTCCGAAGTGACTTCTTTCCTTGGAAGTTTCGGTCAAATTTTTCTTGTATTTTTTTATTTTCTCCAGGCGTTATATACGTCTTATAAAAGTTAATCATTCTTCTTTTCGTAAACCGAATAGCAAATTACTACTGAGCACTTTGTTTTCATAAACTCTTAATGCATTCTTTTCCCCCAACACGAGAAACCAAACCCCACATTCATATAGAACATGCAATCGTGAAGTTATATTTATGCGTTTTCG